GCTCAATCACGTCAAGCAGAATTGTACAATTGCTCCCACAATCAGCTTCCAAGCATTATTTTTCTTCCTGGACTCCTTAACATCATCACCCTTTTACCCTTCTCCCTCCACCTTTGTACCCATCCCACCAAAACCCTTATTCTACTTGCTGTCCCTATAGGTTCATCAATCCTAGGTTTCATATACTGAAACACAGAAAATCATGTAAAACAACTGCAAGAGGGTGACTCCCAATGACATTACACCTCTGAGATAGACCCTAATATGAACAAACAAAAATATGGAAATATTCAAAACCAGATCAGGTCCAGCATGCATCAGAGGGGGGAATCAACTGACAAAGTGTTAACTTTTCAAGTCAGATTTATGCTTTTGGTCTTCTATACTAACTCTCCAATACACTCTGTTTAGTAACCACTTTTCCTCCCATCTCTCAATTGTGGATAGATGGAGATCACTGGAGGCTTATGTGTTAGTCTTGGTTGACTAGAGAAACAAATTTCATGACACTCATGTGTATAAGAAAGAGTTTTATAGCAAAGAGCAATTGAATATTGAGAAAACAGCCCAGTCCAGATCAAGTCCATAAGTCCAATACCAGTCTATAAATTCCTCTTCAGACTCATGGAACACATACAGTGATGCCAAATGCAGGAAGATCAGTGGGTGGGAAGTCTTGTGGATCCAGTGGTGGTGTAAGCATCTCAGTGTTGGCATGGGTCCCCATGTGGCTCCTCCAGCTCCAGGGCTCTAGCATAGCTGCATGTGTCTTGTTAGCAGGAAAATGAAGCAGAGAGTGCACCTGTATCTGGCCTCCAGTGAGTTAGCTATCTCTGTGGTGCCTCCAGATGAGGTCATCAAGCTATGCCCTGATTGACAGCCTAGATTTTCAATTTGACAGGAGATTATGTGACTACCACAGCTTATTTCCTACGTAGTTCCCACAAATGTATCTTGGGCTCCCACTATCATCCATTGATTTCTGCAAACTGGATTCTCACAATATAGGCTCTGATACTAATCGATCTTTTGACTTCGGATTATATGATTTACAATCTTCAGTGACTGATGATGTGCTTCTTCCATGTGGACATAGCTGACATCTCACTTAGATGGACTTAGTTGACATCTTGTTTGGAGACAAGACTTTAAGACTGCAGACACTATTGGAAATGCAGCTCTTGAGGAAATTGTGGTGTGGTGAGATATGGCAAAGAAAAGAGAAGTATTTGGGGCTGA